TAAATAAACTTATCTCAGATAAGTTTTAACAACTTCTGAGACGGGCGTTTTTATTCGATTTCCTTTTCCCGATATAATCTAGGCTATATACTCTGGTGATCGTGAAAGTTTGGTTAAACCCATTTTTTGTTTGAACTTTTTCGACTCTTTATAGCGAAATTCATTCTTATGGCTCACAGTAATGCTCTCATTGGCACCACAAGAATCAATGGTTACACTATCCTAGACCTAGTGTATAGTATATAGTAAAATTTAGTGAAACTACACTATTTCTTAAGCCGGAAATATTAGAATTAAATTCAGCATGTTCCAGCGCGTATAATAAGCGTAAAACAGATCAAAAGGGTCGCTTTCTGAGCTAATTAATTTTAAGCGCGCGTAGATGATAGAAACGGCGCCTAACTTGAAAGATAATCATACAAATTAGTTGATTTTCTTTATGGAACAACTAATTCGAGATACGCGTATATCTCAGAGAATCCAGGCGCAGGTTTCGAGGAAGTTACGCATCGTATCTCCCGCGCTTTTCAATGGTTTAAAATTCTTTTCTCAAAACCTGGTTACATCATGTTTTACCTGGACTTTTCTTCGAGAACATGATGTAATGAAGCTTTCCCATACAAAAATTTTTATTTTAGTGGCAGCTATGACTGAAAAATGAAAAGTTTTGTTCTGCCGCAACTCACCAAATAATAAATAAGCCTCAAATTTGGTGTGAACACAATAATTTCGAATCATAATGATATGACGTTTCCAAAGAAAAAATCGAGTAAATCATGTAATAAAGTCAATAATTTTATTGCTACAGTTCTTTAAAAGTATAAAGATCAAAAGAGAATAAGAATTATAAACAAGTTCGTCAAAAAATGTAAAGGAGACGATAAATATTCACTCCATCTCATGCTAAGTTTAAATATCTTTTCAAACTTCTGACAATACTCTGTTTATTTTTTACTATTCATCTTTAATTCGTATGAAAAATCGAAATAAATAAAGGAGGGCTATTGTTTAGTTTCTCACTGACATCAACTCCCATTTTCTTCTTCTCTTCAATCTTGTTTTTATTTTTGTTTAGCCTGGTTAACGTTAGAACGTGAGGAAAGCTGAACTAACCTTTCAGTGAAATATTTCTGCAGAAATCAATAAAATGCAAAAGGGATGCAAAATCAAAACTACACAACAAGAATATCGAAATTGATTTTATAAGTATATACTCTAATTCTCACTCTTGATTTTGAAAGGGTTCATATACCTAATTAGTTGAGATGTTAGAGGAAGATCAGGAAAAATCACAAATTTTAGATCGAACAAACTCTCACCCGTAAGAGCTTTTTCTCGAGGCAGTGCGACACTAATTTCACCGTGTTTTACCTGGCTTTCTCTTCGGGAACACGATGTAATTCATTTCAGGCTCGCCTAGAGTTTGAACTCAAAATAAGTACACAGCAATTTTATTCACATTCTTAGCTCTCTCTTTCAAATTGCTGTGTAGTTATTCAACTTTAAGTTGAATAAAAATTGAATAATATTCAATTTTTCGTATAACTTGGTAGATTTATACGTGTGTATTCATTTGAAAAGTATCCTTTTTCTCGTCTCACATGTTCTGTCATATTAGGCTTCATGCAAATAAGACGTTTCGTTTTTTTCCTCGTTTTATATGCTCATGCTTTCTCCGTTCTTTTCCTTTATATCAGTCGAAGAGTATGTAGCTACGTCACAGCATATAGATATGGAAAAGATATATTTCTCGCATGATATATATACATCTTTTTTTAAATACCAAGCATATATTCAAGTATATATATGCATTAGATAAAACTAGAAACAAGTGTAGTAATTCCAGTCTCATCACCTTGTTTTACAACTTTTTCTAAAAGTCTGCAATAACCAATCAGCTGAACGTTGTTTTGCCTACTGAAGAATTTTTCTGGCATTAATATACTATTTTACAGATTAATAAATAATTAAGTAATAATTTTACTATTAAAAATGACTACACAGAGTTACGAGAAGAAAACGAAGGAGAAAAGATCGTGGTGGTCTGAGGAAGAAACAAACTTGCTGCTAAATTTGTTAAAAGATGAAAAGATATCGAATGAAATGGTTAGTCTTCGGAATCGTGACACCGGGAAAAAGTACAACAGGAGTTTATTAGCAGCCGTTATCAACAAATCTGTTAATCAGATTAAAAAGTATCACTGTATTCACTTTAACTTTGTCAACACAAAAATGAATTCTCTCTTGCCCACTGAGTATTTATAGTAATAGGTACGAGTTAAATCACGATTATCTTTTAATCGTGATTAGTGCGGTTACACACTATTCTGTTCATCGTGATTAAATATCGTTAATCATGATCCAAAAAATTGCGGTAACACTAGAAATTGTTTAATCGCGCTTATCTTTTAATCATCATTAAAGATAATCGACATTATTTGCGAAAAAAACTGACATTCAAATGGCTGTTTCATTGAACTTTTTTAGATTCCAATCATGACTTGTATTTAGTGTATATATATATATATGTATATGTATCATTGAAATTTGAAGAGATTTAGTCATCGAAACTTGACTAGTCTAATATAAGAGGGAGAATACGTCGAAAAAGGAGGGTATATATTATGATATTTTCCTTTAGTGTCCGAATTCGTGTCGTTCTTTCTTCTCATCTAATCGGATAAACAAGGTTTATCACATGTGATGTATGGATGCTACACATTCAGATGAACGATGCATTATTTTATTAATTTACGACAGACTATTTCTCTCACATCGACGACATTCAGGCCAATCAATATGATCAGTATAGTTTCTCTTTGTCAAAGTCGACTACACTTCTCTCTTTGTGTTTGGCTATATAGCTATTATCACACACACACACACACAATTGAATGATTTGTGTGGAGAGAAAAAATATTTCTCTTTCTTCCTATCATTCCGATCGATGTATATATAGAGACGGATCACAGCTACAAAATCACAAATTGGTATTACTACGCAAGCATTATCTATTATCGTCGAGTAGCTGTAATAAAAAATGGTTAAGATGAACACATTCGTTGGATTCGCTATTTTGGTTTTAATTGTTGCCGTAATGGATCAGACGGTGGCGACAATTTGTGATTGTAATAAATGGGAGGGTGCTTTCAGTTATAATTATAATGGTGGACATGGTAAACCGGGTGGTATTTCTGGCTATTGTCATCACACTTGTTCTTATGGTAATGCTGCTGCGGGTGGTGCTAATGATTGTTGTAAATGTTGTTGCGAGAAACGTTCCAAATATATTGGCTCCTGTGATATTGTTCCTGCAGCTGCTAGTACTGCGGTACCGACACCACGTACCACTCCTGACACTCCGGCACGTACCACTCCCGCACCTGACAGTCGGGAACGTACCACTCCCGCACCTGACAGTCGGGAACGTACCACTCCCGCACCTGACAGTCGGGAACGTACCACTCCTGTACCTGACAGTCGGGAACGTACTACTCCCGTACCTGACAGTCGGGAACGTACCACTCCTGTACCTGACAGTCGGGAACGTACTACTCCCGTACCTGACAGTCGGGAACGTACCACTCCTGTACCTGAAACTCCGGCACGTACCACTCATGTACCTACGACTTGTACTCCTACAAATGATGATTGTTCTACTAAATCTGTTTTTACTGGTGGTTTCGGTTTTCCGTTTTATATTTATTTTGCTGGTTCTGGTCCTTTTTCTAATGGTGGTGCTGCCGCTTATTGTCCTAAAGGTACTCGTGGTTATGCTGATTGTCAAGATGCTTGTAAAGATGATACTCATTATCATGCTTGTGTCCGTTGTTGTAAAGCCTGTTGTGCTTCTGGTAATGCTGTTCGTAATTAGTCATCCAGGTATGTGTCAAAAATATAATCGCGATTGAAAAATCATTCACTGATTTTTTCTTTGAAATTATCATCGGCAAGACATTTTCATTTATTTACATTGTTTGTTCTTTTTAAGACCGGGAATCCAAGCAAGAGGCAACAATTTTTCAAAACAACCTTTCCAAGTCGCAAAGCCTCACAACATTTTTGTTCATTATTTAATATTTAACTTTAATTTTTGTCTTATTCAAATTTTTCCAGATTAACCCTTTATATTTCAATGTCCAACAGTAATATATTTTTCATTCTTTATATTTTTTCAATATGCTGTATCATAAATAAAATATAATTTTATACTACACATGCTTGTCTTCTTTTACTAACTGCTAGAACTGTTACAGTTCCATATTAGTTCAGTTCTTATAAACTGTTGACTCTGTTCTTTTGACAAAAATATCCGTTGAAAGTCTGACATATACGGTCTTGAATCAATTAACATCAGTTCTTTTTAACATTACGATTATGCATTAACTGCTGAGTATTTATCTCTTAGCGGAGAAGAAGTGAAAAATACAAACGAAATCGGCCTTGATCATATCGGACGTATCGAAAATGTATTGGTTTGAATGAATATCGATAATTATTACGATATCATTTACGAGCATAAATAATGAAATAATCATCTGAAAAATCTATCTTTTCACTTTCATCAATCAGATTTAGTTTATTAAAAAAAAATAAATCAATTTACAGAAAACCATACTACATCCTAGTTTACCTAAAATCGAGTAGAGTAGGGTGGAGTAATTTTTTTAAATCTCCGTATTTTCGTTCTCTCTCAGTTAGCTTAAGAAATTTTCGGGTAGTTTCTTGGCAAGAGTTGGAAATAATTGTCTGTCGAATGGTCATTTTCATTTTTCTAAATTCCATTTCCTTCAGAATCAGGAGCAGATCTGCGGCTGACCGGTCTCGACTGTTCTAATTCCCTGCATGTGGGGAATTCGAGCAGTACGTGTAAATGGGTGGAGTAATTAGAACAGTCCGTGGAAAATACACGGGATTTTTCAATAAAAGTAATTTGAATTTTATATCTGTATTTTAAATTATTTTTGCACACATCCTTAGTATGATATGTAGAGGATATTCAGCTCTATCGCCTGATATGGATTAGATCGCAAACGTATAATATCTGACGGAGCTAGCTCTATTCAAAAAGCGACTAGTAAAATTTTTTTGTGTTCCAATTCCCCAATTTTTGCGTTTAGTTATCAGTTGATCGAAAAAACTGAAGGATATATGTAATCAGGTGTCCTCTTCAAACTGACATAGTTTGAGGGCAAATATAAGAAGTGGGGTGGACCCCTTTGTTGCCGTTACTAAATTTGTTTTCTCCTTTTCCTTTTGAGTGGAGAAAGGTAAAAACTTCGTTTGCTGGAATGTATGAAGAAATCGAGAGAGTTCTCCTAAGAAAATCAACTCATAAAGAATTTATTTTCGTTTCCGCGCGCTATACGAAAAACGAGTCGTAATCGGATCGTTTAGAAAAATGACTTTTGTTACTTTTTCTCAAAACATTGAAATCTATTTTTTCCACCATACTTTTCAAAAAGTAGAGCTTTTGGTTTTCCTTTCATTCAAATTTTTTATTCTTTTTCTTTTATCATGCAAATAAAAGAAGAAGAAATTTCTTTTCAATTATCATATTATTTAGTATGAATCGGTTTTCTTCAACTTAATTTAAGTTAGTCCATTTTCATTTCGTTGGCGAATTTCTTTTACTTCTGCTCTTATTGAAAACATCGACTTCGATTTAATTCATTCAACATCACCTTACGCAAGAGGAAGAAGCACAACATCACCATTCTTATTATAGAAAAAGAAGACTAAAACTATTTAATACGAGGACAAACGGCATGGACTGCGTCAAAAAGTGATTTTTGGCCACTGGAATTGATTGGATGAAAAGTTCACAGAAATTCACTTTCGAGCTTTTAATCATAAATTCAAAAGGTCACCTGGATTCTTCCAGTCAATTCTATGAAAAAAGCAAAACAGCGCTCTCTATATGAGTTTTCTCAG